TATTACAAAAAAAAGTCTAAATAATAAAATATAATTATAAATATTAAAATATTTAATACTTGTTTGTTAGTATATCCAAGGTGATGTACTGCTCTCCATATTACACTAAGGTCAATATTTTGTCCTAACCAAAGTTCCATTTCTGATTGGAGTTCCCAAATATACCAATCTACTTTTTCTTTAAGTAGTGTTTCAAGATATTTCATATCATTGCATCCAAAAATTCTTTGTCTTCCACGTAACAATGAAAAGTTTTCGACGCATCCATACTTTTTAAAACGGTGACAAGTACGGTGCACGGTTGATTTGCTAACTCCTAAATGTTTAGCAATTTGACGTTCTGACAAACCCGCTAATGACTTTTCAATTATTTGCCAGCAAAAATGTGAAGATAATTTTGTCATACTGTAATGAAAACGAAAGATTTGTTTATTATCGATAAGGTAATACAATAAATAAAATTTCCAATTTGGAACGGAATAATAAAATAATAAATTGGCCGATCAATAATTATAATTCTGGCTGAAATTATAAGTTAGCCCGAATTATTGTCGAGCAGTAATAATCTTATGCGTATGACGTATGAATGCGTATGACACTTCGGAGCAAAAATGAATTGGGTGGTCCGTTATTTTTGCAAATAGCTGTAATGGTAGACGTCAATAATTAAAGTTATCCGGTATCCCGTAATTTTTTTTTATCGTGTATCAAACACTAAAACTATATCGTGTCATATTCGTTCATATTAGTTTGATTTTCAATATTTTTAACAAGTAAAATTTTGATTTTATTTGAGACTATGCATTTAAACTCAAAATTGAAATGGATTATACTTATACATAAATTTACCAAATATGGTGCAGGAAGTATATACTCAACAATATAAATGTAACACTTTTAAAAAAATAAAATTTAGAAAAAATAAACTAGTAGCTTTATTCTTTGAGATAAGATCTATTAAATCACCGGTCAGTTTTTCAAAATAAGTTTTATATAAAAGTTATAGGCATTTAATAATTTTCATATGATCGTCCTGAATTTGTCAGCTCAGCCTGAATTTATTAAAACGATACACAATTAAAATGATTAATATCTCATTTTTTCATTGGTCAATTACTAATCATGTGATATAAATCCACAAAACATTGTTAAGACTTCTAAAGGTGCAAATGCAACAACCACCAAAAGAAATTTCAGATCATCTTATTTATAACCTTTGAATTTACAATTATGCCGTTCGTAATCACTAAAAAAGAGTGATTTATTTTCCAAATGACAATAAATAAACCAATTTACTTTTTTTTTTTTTTTGATATGAATTAATAATCGAAGACAAAAGAAAAATAAATTATAATATTTTAATATTATTCCCTTTTGTGTTATCCAAAAGATCGTCCTAGTAACTATTGTATCGCGATCTTTACGGCAATTGAAATTCATAATGTTAGAAAGAGAACGATAATCAGCTCAAAAAAAGTTTATCCCCTGATTTCAAATATACCAGAATTATCAAACTTGCGGTTATAACTCATAAAAGCGAAAAAATTCTTTTGTTTTATCTCTTGCGGGGCATAATGAATAAATCTTCATATATAGGGAATCATGAAAGTAAGCGTGGACTGTTTTATTTTTTCGTTCTTTTTGCTCTGCAAACTTTTTTCCATTACTAATGTTTTCAGAATATTGAAGTAGCTCTGAAATCGAAATCTTAGAAATGGCTCCATTCAACAATTTTTTTATAGGAGGTTGGAAGTAATCAAATTTGATAGAATAAAGGACTATGTAGGCGGGATGATAAATACTACTTTGATACTTGTTTTGAAACATAAAGTAATGTTTCACTATTATGGAAAAAACAATAGGAGTCTGATGTTTATCAATGCTTCGCCAGCTAGTAATGTAGTCATTTTTACTTTGAAAATAACTTTTGGCAAACAAAACCTTACTAGAAATTTATTCCTGTAGTAAGCCGAAACCCTTTAATTACAATATTATTGATGTTTTTGAGTTTGAATTTTCAACCTTCAAGAACGTTTCGCACTCGATAAGTTTATTAAAGTTATTTGATAATTACCGTAGTATCCGATCACGTTATGATTTTGTACCACTGTAATGTTTGGAGAATATTTTCCGTTGATCTAATTTTGGTCGTGATAATTCCTTTTATATCCTTATTGAAATAAGCAATTTTTACAAATTTACCCAGAATTTTTTTTTAAAAAAAAAAAATAAATAAATAAAAAATGGATGCAAATAGTCATGAAAATGAAGTTCATGACCTAATAGTATCTGAATTCAACAAATTAAATGTCTCAGATAAGAATTGTTCTTATTGCGATAAACCATTTGCCGAGAAATTATGGTGTAAAGAATGTGACCCTCGATGTATGATTGAAGGATGGACTAGTGGAAATTCTGAAATTGATAATTTCATAAAAGATGCAATGTATGATTCAAGACATGATATATATTCAGGTTTTCTTGAATGGGTGTCTTTTGATAGATTCACAGATATAGAAGAAATTGGTGAAGGAGGATTTGCCAAAGTGTATTCTGCAACATGGATCGATGGTAATTCAAAATTTGAAGAGCAAGATGATGAAAGTTGGAAAAAATCGGATCCCGAACCTATGAAGGTTGCTTTGAAAAGGTTAAATGGATCATGGGATATGTCAGCTAAATATTTTAGTGAGGTATATCACATTTATATATTTTAATTAATTAAGAACATTTCTAATTTTGTTTAAATATTTATTACAAAACTAGCTTAAAGCTCATTGGGATATTTGTCAAGATGGTGCATTAGAATTTTATGGGATGACTAAGGATCCGGAAACCAAAGATTTTATTATGATCATACAATTTGCACCTGATGGAAATTTGAGAAATTATCTTTCAAATAATTTTAACAACTTGTTATGGAAATATAAAATTCAAAATTTATACTTTTTAGCTAATGATCTTTACCATTTACATAAATTAGGATATTGCCATAAGGATTTTCATAGTGGAAATATTTTGCAAGATAAATTTCCTTATGTTTCAGATTTTGGATTATCAGGATCAGCACATAATCAAAAATCGGATGATAAAATATACGGTGTATTACCATATATCGCTCCTGAAGTCTTGAATGGTGGTTTATATACTTTGGCTTCTGATATCTACAGTTTTGGTGTAATTTTGGCTGAATTTTCAACTGGAAATCCTCCATTTTATAATAGTAAACATGATTTATCTTTAGCCTTGGATGTTTGTAATGGACTTCGTCCAGAATTTGGAAAAGGAACCCCTGAATTTTATAAGAAATTGGCTTATAGATGTATGGATGCAAGTCCAAATCAAAGACCAACGAGCGATGAGTTGTTTAATATACTGGATTTTTGGAAAAATTCTATTTATTATTATGAAGAGTTTAAAGATACCAAAGAATATGGATATTATGGAAAAGAAATAAAGGAAGCATTTGAAGAGGCAGATAAAGAGATACCAAATATTTCATTATCACGCAATAATAATCCTGATGCTATATATACAAGTAGAGCATTTAAATTTAAAAATTTGACTAAACCTATTAATTCGTCTCTTATCACCTCATATCTCGAAAAGGATGAGAATAATGAAGGTAATATATACTTAACTTTCTATTTCGATAACGAAATATTAATTTCAATGCATTTATCAATTTTTCAAGATTCTCAATTAATTGAATTAGAAATTCCTAACTAATTACAATCAAGAGGTAATATGAATTATAGATATTTATGATTGCAATTTAAATATGAATAGATTTATATATTATAAACATCAATAATTGAAGTTTATTAAAATACTTCAAATTGTTAAGCTAGCATTTAACCAATCAACTTGTGATCGAATTCGATAAGAGTTTTCTTTGATTTATTTCAAGTTTTCGTAAAGCATACCTCTAATAGCCTTCAGAAGAAAGTTGAATATTAGAATTATCTCTGATATTATTTTGCTGAACCTGGTTTCTTACAATTACAAGTAATAAAATTTATGGTCGGTTGAAATGTATACTTGAAATTAAATGGGGATGTAGATAGAAAATGATCAATCTTCCGAAAATTTTTAAAATAAATAACTGTAATATTAAAATACTTTAAACAAAAAATAATTTTCTTTATCACGATTTATTGATTATAATAGAATTTGTACTATATATGATGATATCACGACAAAGTTAAACTTGATCATAAAGTACGGATTACAGAAAATGGTCAATGTAAATTAAGACAACAACTTGTCTATTTATAAAGAGAAAATAATTATGCACCCGCGGCAAATAAGATTAGAGTGATGTAATTTTAAATTATATTTTTGGTGAAAAACAAATATTAAACAAAACGGTGTAAAGTTATATTTAAATGCCCTCGAGCAGCACGATATCAAGATATTCTTTGGTGCATATTATATAATATACTAAATATCTACATTTAGCCATAATACCTTGTAATTACAAGTAAAAAAAAATTATCGAATATATTAAACATTAACTAATGCATTTTTTCTAATCTAATGCCATTCGCGCCTGTATGTGTTTGAAATTAATTCTGGTGATGTAAAAAAAAATATAATTATGATTAATATTCAACAAAAAAAAAAAAAAAAAATATTATTAAATTAAAATAAACATTATATGACACATTTTTTTCGGAATTATTATTAATCTTGAAAATTCGAGTCGAATCCGGGAAAAACAATAATCGGGTACGTGATCTGGTCGAGTCGAATTCGGTTTCTGTAATTATGTTTCAAACCCGATCTGAACCGACCCTTACGGAACACTAAAATTTACAGTTCAGTTTTAATGGATGATTTTGTGTAAAGTAAGTCTACCTCTTTACATTTATATTGGGCTTGCGGAAAGTACGAGGTTATTTGTGTGATGTGGGTAATTTTAATTACGCAGATGTAACAATCTGAGAAACAGATTTTAAATTCATGATTCTGAAAGGAAAGTTTATTTAAAGACAACGATTAAACAGTTCATAGGAATTATCATAATAATAATCGTATTATAGAAATCCGGACAATTAATATTTGCATTTAATAGCTTCTCCAATGCAATTTACTTATTCTATATTTATTTATTGATATTTAGTTTATAGTGAGACTAATTATATTTTATAAAAAAGGATTCCTCGCTGCAAAATGAACCAATATTTTCACGTTAACCATTGCAACCTTTTAAATTTCTAAGAATATTAACGCATTAGTTGATTTATTGAATAAAAAAATTTTTTTGTACCAATACTCGGCTATTAAATTCAATAATGTACGCACATAAGTTATGATCTTCAATATTATACGACTATTTTTCAAATGACCTTGATCATTTTATTTTGAAATTTATAATAAAAATGTTGTAATTTGAGATCATTTTAAGGCCATTCAGTGTCATATGCCAACACTGCGAGTTTTAGGTTAGAAATTTTCAATTTTATTCCATAAAATTAAATGTAACCAGAATTAATGTACTATGTAATGCGAATGTTCTGCTGGAACGAGAATAACGTTTGAGTTATAAGTTTCCGAAATTTATATCTTTTCTTGTATCTTTTGTTTACATTATGATATTTTCCGAGGATTTGAGGATAAACGCAAGTTCGATTAACAAAAATGAAGTTCATGATACCCTTACCGCGCGGAAATAGTAATTTTCAGGTATTAATACCTTTGCTTTTCTTTGCAATTTATTAAATCACTGGTATGTGTAATGAATTGGCACTTTACATTAGCCCAACGCAAATGCTGAATTTTTTTGAAGTTTTTTAATGAAATTCTTGGGTTAAACAAAGTAATATTATGCAAATAGAATGATTTAAGAATTAGTTTAATATCTGGAAACCACTTTCCATTGATAACCGGCATCTAAAACATCATCATTAAATTCATTTTATTTTCTATATATTACCATTAATTATTAACGCTTATATTTGTGATTTAAATGACTTATTGCAAATTTTTTCGTGCTCAATTAATTACGGCCCTTACCGCATAGTATTCAGCTTTACATCCAAATTGCATTTTTTTTTTACATTATATTCGATTACTTTATTCTTTGCTTTTATTTTGTTTTGTTTCTTAACTAAGTGATTATTTCTAGCAAATATATTATGGATAAAATAAATAACATTAAAGGACATGAGGGAAATTACATGCATTGTGGATGTTTATTTAACTAGTCTATCAATAACAAGTCAACACTTGATTAAGAGTATATGGAAAACCGGTACGGCACGATGCCAAATTTTGTATTTATCACGTGATAGCTTACTCCGCCATTAGTATGCGTTTATTTTTTAAATTTATTTTTATTTATTACTTATTTTATAATATTAAAAAAAATCAATATATCGAATATATCGCATTTTACTAATTAAATGCCATATCCACGAAATCTATTTTATTTTTATTTTATTTTTATTTTCTTTTTATTCTATTTTTTTGAAAAAAGCAAAAAATAAAAAAAAAAATCTAAACTAAAAAAATAAAAATAAAAATAAAATAAAAAAACATAATAAAATTCAGATTTGAGAACTTAATAAAATTTTAAATCTTCCAGAAAATCGGTTTTCATTTTATTTTATATTCATTTTTTCCTCTCACAAATAACTCCGTCTTATAATTAATATGCATTTCCTAGAATTCGCTGAAAAATATAAAAATTAATTTCAGAAGTCACCAGAAGTAGTCAACAAAGCATTTCAAATGAGCGGTAAAAGACCCTCTGTTAACTACGACTAAACCTTTTTTGTTCTTTATCACGTGCCTGCAGATTTACAAGATGAACATCAAGGTAAGCTTTGCGTTGTAAAGATTGGTCCACACGAACGTGACGTGTTACCTTTTTATAGTCGTTGTCCTAACTTGTGCTCTCATAACATTATATACAGAACCTCCTTATAATGTTTTAAAGATAATAATAATGAAAAAAACGAAGATAAAAAATAAGCGAAACTTTTGATGGATTTGAAACGTGCGAAAGTTTATGGAAATTTTATATATTTCGGGAATCCCGAGGATTCAAACCTTATATTTTATCCGCGATTGCTATTATCACTCGTGTGAAGTTATCTTTGATAAGACAATAAGAAAATTGCATGTTACAATAAACCTAGGAGTTGGTAAGACCTTTTTAGGCTACTATTTTTTCTATCTACTAGCATCAAAAAGATAAATTGTACTATATCATAAAGTCGACCCTCCGCTTATATTCGACGAGAGAGTCTTATTCGTTGAAAATCCTTTTAGTTACTTTGAATACCTGAGTGATCTGGATACCTGGTATATAGTGGATGGCCATCTTATGACGACGCTAAGACGATTTTCTTGTGCTCGCCTTACAAATACTTTGATAATGTGGAGGAGGGGGTAGAAGTACGATATAGTACGATATATGCCGTGTGGGATCTTGATGAGATCTAAAATGCAGGAATATAATATATAATGATCTTGAGGAAAATTATGTTAAGAATAATTCTTCGTTTCGTTTTAGATCTTGCTAAAATGAAAATGAGCAAATAAGTCAAAAGATGCAATTAATATATTGCGAGAAATACATATTTAAATGGTCAAAGCGAGTCTCGCAAAGATTATAAGCCACATATTAATACATATCGTCACAAACTCCCCAATTACGTCAACTCGATGGCGATGTAGAGGTAGTGCTAAGTAGTGTTTGAGGAAAAAAAGCCTTATACACAAAAAATAATGAAATTTACGTCACGTTTGTGAGTGACAAGTTGATTGATAAAGTTAGAGCGACAATAAGGGATAAATTACGACTCGAGCCAACTTTTAGTGGTTAGAAAAGTAATAAATTCTTAGACAAATGTTCGAAAAAATTTGTCACCAAATGTTTCGATGTGAGGAACTTTTAATTATCATTATTTAGAACCTAATGAAATATTTATATCTTACCCTAGTATTCAACAATATGAGACATAATATTTTCTGAAATTAATAAGAACGAAATGGAAAATACTATCAACCTGATAATGACAACTTTCTATCATTGGATTCAATAATTGCTTCTTGCGCCTCAATCATCATAAAAAATATCTGGCCTAAAAAAAGTTTATAGCAAATTATTAAAGGAAATACTGTAGATATCAACTTATACTTCGTTGTACCGAAATACTTGCACAATTCTTTCAAATAGGAAGTTTTTACTTCCAAAGGAAAGAAATTCAAAAGAATTCTAGATGTATTTATTGCATTAAGCAATACGTTCTAGAAATTGATTTTGACTCTGAGGCGTTTAGCTAATTTAATCATTTAAAACTTGTGCATCCCTAAAAATTTGCTATCTGCCTCACATTACGTTCATTCTTTTACTATATCATTGCTTTAACATTAATTGTGTACATTAAATAATGATAAAGAATTAGTTTGTTATCGGTTTACTATTTTATTTTTTAACATGTGTATACTTCTTTGTATAATTTATGTCATCGGAAAAATATGCTATTATGCTAAATTACACAAGCATCGTCATCATCACCGGTTACATCATCTATCTTGGAAGTGACAGTTAGAAGAAGGATCGAATGAAGCCAAGGCAGATGATGATTATGAGTCCGAGTCCATAGTAATCGGATTATGTTAATTCCTTTTTTGAACCGCGTCATATGTGTGTGGCTTATACGAAAATAAGAAAAATAGGTGTATCACGAGGTACGTCCCAAACTTTATATTAATAAATTTACCATGGAAAAATTTAAATCTTGTATTTGTCTCGCAAATAAAAAGCTTTAAACAATGCATCTTAGCCAGTAACGATACTATCTATACGTAATATTTGATCGCTCTGAGCTAATGCATCATTTTACAGGTCAATACCCCCTCCTTGATCTTTTTTTTTGCGCTGGGAAATTGTGATCACCATCATGTGTCTAGTCAGCGCAATTTCGTCATACTAAAATCTGGAAAATATATGATGCGGATATATAACATATTGCTTCATTCTTTCCAGAAAACAAAAAGAAAGACGCGGGCGTTTCGTGCATATGTATTTTTACCTTCCTCTGGTCTTATTAATTTCGGAATTTTGAATAGCATCGAAATCGAAATCCTGCTTTATGGATAGAAATTATAATGTAGGAATTAGTATAGAAAAGAATATAATGTTCACCCATGGTTTGTTTAGAATGTAATCCTGATAAATTTTCGATCGTTGCTGACCGGATTCCCACGATACGATACTTAAGTGATGATTCTTATGGACAATGATTCGGATTTTTGATATGAGGTAAGTTATTTATTATTCGTTGACTGATTTCATACATAAATTGCTAATAAACTTCGTTCATCACGGAGTTTCTGTCAAGCCGAAAGACTAAACAGAAAATAGTTCCGTATCGATTCAGGTTCATCATCTGCATCACGGTCATAACCCGAATCGAACTTTCCTGCAAATACTGGCCCTAATCCCTAAGAATCCGTTGATCCTGATTTTGTGACGCGATCATATTTACTGATCCCGTGTAAATCAGACGCGACAAACAATATAAAAGGGAATAGTTATATCAGTTGCTTCTTTACAAATACAATATAATAGAGTGTAATGACATCATTCTACAAAATTTTTTTGAGAATACAAAGAAATGATAATGGCATTCATTAATTCATCGGGATCTTCTTTTTAGCACTAATCCATTAACATCGCGCCTTATTATTTTCAAAATTTTTGGTTAGTATGATCGTCAAAAAATTATTTAATTTTTGTAATTCGTGATACGATCTTCAAATGAATGGTTGCTTAGAAATTTGATTAACTTTACATGATTTACTAAGTGCTTATCGCTTCGGCTATTATACAAAATTCAAAATGCAAGGTTCCAATAATTCAAATGAGTGGATTAATAGGATCGAAGAGTCCATTTCAGAACATCAACGGGAAGTTCATTTTCATAACAATATTATCGACGTTTATGGGATTTCAACTTCAAATAAAGGTATAAAATCTTTATAATTGGGTTTATTAAAGATATATATTGACCTGACCTTGATTTTATTATACTTTTATTTATTTACACAAATTTTTTTTTTAAAAAAAAAAATTAGAAAGTCAAAATGATCAAATGAAAATGTATTGGTTAGTAATGGAATATGCTGATGGCGGCACACTTAGAAATTATTTGACGAATAATTTTGATAAACTCACATGGGAAATACCACTTGACATTCCAGATGGCTAGTACTGTATTGTTTTTACATGAAGAAGGAATTGTGCACCTTGATTTGGTAATATTATATTTTTTCTGAAGGTCCTTTTTTATAAATAATAATATATTTTCTTTTTTTAATAGCATTCCGGCAATGTATTAATTCATCAAGGTATTATTAAACTTGCTGGCTTTAGATTATCGAAAAGAGTTGAAATATCAACTAGTCAATAAAATGTTTTCGAAGTTATTCCTTACATGGACCCAAAAATTTTTAATAGTCAAAGACATAATGACAATGCATCACAACTATATACACTAAATGAAAAAAGTGATGTTTACAACGTTGGCGTTCTTTTATGGGAGATATCAAGTGGACGTCCTCCTTTTTATGCTAATGTTATCGATAGAAAAGTATACGATATTATTTTAACTTTAAAGATTTCACAAGGTTTTAGAGAAAAACCATTCCTAGTACATCTGAAGATTATGTAAACATTTATACTGGTAAGTATATTATTACAAATTTTTACAAATTACGATATAAATTTTAATCATTATAATTTTATGTTTTTAGAATGCTTGGATGATGAGCCAGATGGTCGTCCAGCAATGAAACAAGTAGTTGATAAATTAAATACAATTATTACGAAAATAAAAAATAATCAAATGTGTAATGTAGAATCAAATCTTCCATTATCAGAACAACGTTATTTGAATAATATTGATGCTTCTTCTATTAACTATTCATTTAGTGGATCATCTTAAATTTTTCGATTTGATCAGAATAGTCATCAAATGAATAATTATGAATCAAACATTTCTAAATCAAATATTTCTGTAATTATTCAAAATTTCGATAAGATGAAAGTAGAAGAATTAGAAATAAACAATGCGAGTAAATGGATAGACAATGCCTTAAAAAATAATGAAGTTAAATTTATACCTTTTAATCACATAATTCTAAAATACTTAGTGTCAGGGGTTTCAGATGTAGTATGAAAGCAACTTGGGTTAAAACGGATTCTTTTGTTGTTTGTAAAAGATTAACTAATATAGAATATATTAAAGCAGTATATTAGATGCTTTTATTCATGAACTACAGATAAATTTACTATTTGTTTACAGGGATCAGATTTTACGTTGTTTTGGTATTAGTCAAGGTAATTGGTAATTTTGTTTTAAATAAAATCATTTTCATAATTCATATTTATATCCATTAAAATAGAACCTAATTCTGAAGAATATCTCCTTATAATGCAATATGCCAATGGCGGTGATTTTCAAAATTATCTCGAAAAGAATTTTAAAAATTTAACTTGGTATAATAAGAAAAAATTAGCACGTCAAATCTCTGATCGATTAAATTATTTGCATAATGAAAATATTCTGCATAGGGATCTTGTAAGCATTCGTTTTTTGTTATTTATTTAATAATAGAATTGAATATTTTATTTATTCAAAATATTTATTTTAAAATCTAGCATTCTAAGAACGTAGTTATTCATGATGATAATGCCAAAAATGCCAAAATAACAGATTTTGGTATTTCAAAAAATATGAATACTCAAAATTCCAGTATTCATATATGTAGATTTGGTAGGCTCCCGTATATTGATCCATAAAAACTTTTAGATTTAAGTTATCAATATACAAAATTTTCAGATATTTATAGTTATGGAGTTTTAATGTGGGAAACTTCTAGCGAAGTTCCTCCATTTAAAAATATAATTAGTAGAAATGAAGAATATTTACTTATTTTGAAATTATTAAAGGAGTTCGTGAATAGGCTATTGAAGGGACGCCTAAATTTATGAAGAGATTTAGAAGAAGTGTTGGGATTCAACGCCCGAGAAAAGACCAAGTATTAGAAAAGTATTAGAAAAATTTAAAACAATGGAATTTGAAATTAATAGTGAAGATAATTTTATTTATGAGGACACAATCACTGAAGGTTTGTGTTAATGTAATATATATTAATAATACATTGTACCCCACCGAAATTAACAATGATTCTATGCACTAACGAATAGATCAACTTCAATTAAATACATATTCAGATTTAAGCAGTAAGTTATTTAATTAATGTTTAAATTATTTTAAAGAAAGGTATGCTAAGTATATTATTTATATTTTAGTTTCGAATTTTACCCTTAAATAATAAAGTTAATTAAACTTTTGGCTTATTGTAAATTTCTTATTTATTTATAAATCAAATAAATATTGGGCTTATTAAAGTTTATTATACTTACTTGTACTTCAAATACCATATAATCTAACCTTTCATTTATTGATAGCAATAAATGATCAAGTTCAGGAATCTGTCCTACAGATATATTTTGGACTAAGTCCAATCTTAGGATCGGTCTAAAAGCTGACTTATGGACCAGTACGGACCAAGGAGATATGAAGTATCGTCCTTTTAGACTGACTGATCCAACCTTAAGTGATACAGAAAGTTAAATGTCTTAGTTTATAAAATTTATCTGAATTTTTATGAGTGCAAGATATCGGTTCGGTTATTAAAAAGTAGTGAGGATTAAAATCTAAAATGAAAGATTTATGACATTAACGTTTAATGAATCACAGCCTTAATCAATTGATATTTTAAGAAATAATTAGATCGGTTTGTTTTTGTTTTTAGATAGAGGTATTTGGATATCTTATTTTATGGAAATAATAATTATAGTTTTTCTTTTGTATTACTTTAATTTATACCGTTCGTGACAATTTTCGTAAAATGACTTAAGAGAAAAAGAAAAAAAACTACCAAATAAGGAATACTTTTATTAAGGCAATATATAAAGTAATTCTTACTTTCACATAACAAGTTTTCCAAGTTTTCGCTTATATGGATAAAATTATTTTTATTTTTTAAAGTTCCAGAAAACCGAATTTTACTATCACAAGTTTTGCAGATTTATATGATTTCTTCCAAACGATAAATATTTGAAGCAAATTAATCACACTCAGTATCTTGTGATGTGATATTTTATTTTAAACGAGAAATGATTAACTTTCTATGGGATTTCGGCGAAACTTACGAACTATTTAAAAACAAATTATTATTAAGTTCACAGAATTAATTCCCTAATATTTTCAAAACTTCAAATTTGATCCGATTTCAAATAAATGAAAATTGATTAAAAAAAAAATTTTATACAATTCACTTGATAGATAAATATAAATTAATATTTCAAAATGGAAAAGTTCATTATTAAAAATTTAAATAAACAAATCATTTATTACCTTTCTTGTAGTTCAAAGTAAACTAGCAGAGCAGATGAAAATACTTTCTATGATGTCTGTAAATAATTTGCAAAACCTTAATGTCGAGCATGAAATACGTCTCGAAATTGTATTTTTTTTTTTTTGGCATGACAACTATAAAGTTGCATACTTATAAACATTATTAGTACGTTTTTAATGTACTAAAAATTATACAGTACTATTTAGAAAAAAAAATGTGACCAAATTGGCAAGAATTTTTGAAAATTAAAATAATTATTTAAATATACTTTATAAATCTTAATATTCGTCAATTCAATTAATCTGATCTGTAAATTTTGATATTATTAAGTTTGTTTTTATAAAGGAAGGAGTCAAATGTTTATCATTAGAAATTTATAATGTTTTCAAAACTGAAAAAAATATAACTCACTAGAAATTACTAGTTGTTTGTATATAAAATAGTAAAAAAATTTAATTAGTTATATTTGAATATTATGTTGTATTATACAGCAATTTTATTTTTTTAGTAAGGTATAAATTTTATGTTATAATATAAAATTACTATTTAGAAAAAAAGAATACTGGATTGTTCATGCCATATAGTTATTGGTATCAGGTGATTCCACTTTATATAGTGTTAGCTATGGTCAATTTTGAAAAGGAAGGAATAGGTATAAATTTGGTTAGCTTTATGTAGGAACTATAGACGTTTTTATATATTAACTAACCAGTACTTTTTTTCTAATACCCACGACAGGCATGTAAAAATAGAATAATATAACATTATAATAGTCTAGTAGTTTTACTTATTGTATTTTATTGGTTGATTTAATTATATAGAATTTTGTGATTGTATATATAGCTTGAGAATTCTAATCACAGCAATATTTAATATTAGGTATCAAATTTATTTTTTAAAAAATATTATGTGATATCAGCCTGTATTAAGGATTTATTATAATTTTAGCTAAATTTAAAAATTAAAATTTGGTTAAAATATTATGAATATATTATCAAAAGGTTTTCTAACAAATGTTCTATTTCTAAATAAAGAAACATAATCTAATGTAATAGGATTAACTTATTGTAATCTGTTCTATATGTAATTATAATTATTTTTTAAATAACATTTTATAGCATCCTAATGTATTTCAATATAATCAAGCTAGTAGTAAAATTTTAAATAAAAAGTTACTTTATGACTTTTACTTTTAATAATTTCTTGAATCATTCATTTTTGAGCAAGAAAATAAATTGATTTTTTAAAATATATTACATATAACTTTAATTATTTGTTGAATTCTTATTTTTATAAAAACCTTTAAATCTGGTATTAATAATTAATATTTATGTAAAATTTGCTTAATTTCTTTTTATTTTTTATGAAGAGATTTTTTAAAATAATTATCAGGTCAGGAAAATTCATAAATTGAATATTAATATTAAAAATAGTGTTTTATTTTTAATTGTTTATCATCTGATTCTATATTCATATAGTTTATAATAAAAACATTAGAACTAAATACATTATATAAAATGAAATTATCAAATGCAATATAATAATAGCTTTAAGATGAGTTACTTCAAATATTAAAATTGCATAATCAACTACTTATAATTATTATTATTTATTCTTTGAAATTATTATTATTCTAACTTTATGTAAAATATTATTAACAATTTTTATTTTTTACTTAATTATAATTGTCTAATTATTTCACATAAAAAATTGCTAATATTAATACTTCTTCTTTTTTCTTTCTTATGAAGTAGTTATTCTTCATGTAAATTACCTCCTATAATTAGTATGAAAAGTATTTTATCATAAGTTATCAGAATATACAAATGTTTATTTTCTTATAAATCATATTTAATTTAAATTTTTTGGATATTATTTTCAAATTTTGGTATTAATTTTTCATAATAACATTTAATAAAGATAAATTGAATAAAATAAAATTAAAAATATTTTATTTAAGTTATTAGAATTTTTTACCTCACTATTTGTTCTAAAACTTTAACCTATATATAATTACATCAGATCTTTTATGACTATTAACTTAAATGTTTTTTTTAAATTGTTTAAATTAAATCCTATTTTATTAAGCTAATTTCTTGCTATTTTTGTATTAAATTAAGAATTCAAATTAATTTTAAATTAATAAAACAAGATTTTTTAATTCAAACTTGATAGTTATTTCCTATTTTATTCTATATGATGAAAACTAAAATTTTTATATAATTAACAAAATCAGCACATAAAATTTAAATTTAAGTATATTGCTATTTGCACTTGAATATCTTTATTATTAAATAAATTTTTAATTTTGTAATATTTTTTCTGTTTAAAATCAAAATAGTTATACAAATTTTTATTAATTTTTCTTATTCTCTAATAATATATAATATATATTCTTTTATTTAATTATCTTATAATACTAAAACTTTCTTTAATTTTTAGTTCTTTATGATTAATAAGCCTAAAATACTGCAATAAGATAGTTAATTTTAATTTATAATCATTATTAAAATTTATCACACTTTATTTACTTTTAAGTGATTTAATTAATTGTTTAATTGAAATTTTCTTCAAATTCAAAATTTTGATTAAAATTTTGATCATCATATTTTTGATCATCAATTTTATTAGGATTGATAAATAAGATTAAAGTGACAATAGATTAAAAATTTATCATTTGCTGACCATTTTTAGCTAAAAGCTTTTTGGTTTATACTCTTTTTCTTTATTTTATTCAAACAGAATTTATAATATAAATTAATTTTTAGATGATAATATATAGTTTTCATTTTATTTAATATAATACTAATAAAAGTTTTAGCTTTTTTATTAGCACAATATCTTTCTAAATGATTTTTTATTGTCTAAATTATTATTAATATTCAAAGGTACTGAAGGCTTATTTTTATTTTTTTTTTGTTTAATTTTAGCTAAATTTTTTATTTGTTTTCTATAAAAAATGGAAAAAAAATTTAATTAAGACAATTTATTTTTTAGTAATATATGCAAATATCTTTTAATATCAAATTTATAGATTTCATATATATAATTAAGAAAATTCACACATGCAAATTTGATAATAACTTTTAAGGAATGATTATATTTAAAAAATTTCATTATAGTTTAAAGTTGAAAATAAATTAAATTAAAGTATGATAAGCCTTAAAATAACTTTATTTTTAAAAGTAGATACATTTTTAAAAAAGTATATCAAATTTGTTATGCTAAGATCTTTAAGTTATAGTATGATTAATTTTACTAAAATTTATAAATAATAGTAAATATTGAATATTAATAAATAATAAAATTAAATTATGTATTATGATAAAAAAATAAAAAATATATTGGCAATTAGTAATATAAATAAATATTTTATAAATATTAATAAACAAATAATAAAATAAAATTGTATATTATTTTTTCATTATATAATATAAAAGAAAGAATAATTCTTTTTTATTATAAAGAGATTTATTTTTTTATAATATCATATCAGTTTTTTTTTAAGTTGTGAAATCTTATTTGTCACGGTTAGAGTTAGGAGGGTTAGTTAGGGTTAGTTAGGGGTAAGGTGTTAGCATATTATTGGGGGGGATACTGGTATCCCCCGGTATGAAATAAAAATATTCTTT